TCTTGATGAGGTATTAGGTGATGCTCACAATGCATTGGAAGTGATATTTGACGAAGTGATGGAATGTGACCACATTTCCTTGAAGGCTGTTTTCAATGAGGTGTTGCACTGTGGCATCCACGTGGCCTATCGATAAATGAAGGTGTAACAATAGTTTCCAAGTCCAACTTATCATTATTCATAAAAGGCATTGTACTTCGTGAGTTATAAAGTTTCTAGAGATGAGTTTTGAAGATGTGATTTTACTTAATAAAGATAAGTGTTATCTACTGATGCTGGAGCTGAGGCTATTACAAAGCTAAAGTGAAATTATGGTCCTCAAGTCCAAGTATGAACATTTACACAATGAATTGGACTTTGATTTAAAAAAACGAAGTACCACAATTGAGGCGAAGTCAATAGTCCCATGAAGTCTCATTCCAAGATGTAGCTTTGACAAAGAAGAGAAGTCCCATTTTAGGACGAATCCTGTACACATAATGTCCAACAATATAGTAATCACATTTCTGGGTTGAGTTGATTAAAGCTTGTAAGTTGATGCGAAATTTAGTAACGTACGTCCAATATTTTTCGCTATTATCAATGAAGGTAATAGAATATATTTTCTTAAACAAGTATTTATGTCTGAGGCTAGCTAAGAGGTACAGGATACGAAGTGACGAGAAGCATGCTGGTAATCTTGGCATAGTGTGTTCCTAAAGTTGAAATGACGATTGCAATTAATCATGATGATTGGACAATTGAGGCATTTTATTTCTAAGGTGATGCGCCCCGCATGCGTATGAGAGCGCGATTCAATCTGGGTCTCAGTTTGAATCACTGTTTGGAGCATTTTACTGTTCGATGGCTAAATTAGATGAGGCAATGAAAGGCCATAATCAATCTTGAATTGCTTCAATAGCTAGGATGAGCCCGTCTCGCCGATATAAGGGCTTAAAGGTTCACATCAAACCCTTTTACTTTGCTACCCTAACATTGTTCAAACTTGAGAGAATTTCAGCAAGAAAAATGCATCTTGTGGAAAAGAAAGAAGCTCTGGCCTCGCAAAATCCCAAAACTTGGCGACCAAGCTTGGAGCTTTAATTATGAAGTCTTAAAATTTCATTCTTAAATCCCATTTCCTTCTTGAAAATCATTTCCAACTACAGCGGCATCAATTTCCCTACCGACGAGAAATCTATGTCTGAAAAATCCCCAAGTTTGGAAGTGTTGGAGGGTAGGCAAGAGTTATAGAAAGCGTTTGCAAATATGTCCGGAGTGATGCCTCCCAATTCGTGAATGTTGATGCATAGCTAGAGTTAGCTATAGTGTCGGTTAATGAAGCTAAACCAAGAGGGGTTGGCTCGATGGGTTGGCGAAAGCTACAAGTCCCATTATCAAATGAGAATATATATAGGAAAGAATGAAACTAAGTCTTTTGGATGTTTGGCAAGCTTGCATCATCTCAACAACGAATAATTCAAGTGTCAAGAAGTCACATTCTAGTCATCATAGGCATGTAACCTTCCACATATTATCCTAGATGAAAAAGAGTGAATTTGACTTTCAATCGCCTTAATAGAGATGTTAGATCAATCAAGTCGAATGTTGCTCAATGTGTCAAGATACAGCTTGCATAGTGTATTAGGGATCAAATCCCAACTGCTTCAGACTCTAAAGGAGCATCTAATCTGGTAAGGGATTAGGTCCACACAGAGCGCTCGGAGAGGGAAAGTGCCTAGTCTGCACAAAGTTATGTCTTCTTGGGGGCAATTGTCCACAAGATGTTGGACGATGCCCACAAAGCCCCGAAAGTGATAGTTGATGTGGAGATGGAATGGGACTTCATCACCTCTAAGACAGTTGTCAACGAGGCACTGGGCGGTGATTTCAATGTTGTGTGACATTTTGCTTAACTGATAGTTATTTGACATGTTAATAGAGACGTGACAATATATTTATTAAAATAGAATCATCTACAATAACTAATAAGCAAGGATTGAGAAGAAACTTTTGATTACCAATTTTATTCTTATATTTTTTTTTCTTTTGACAACATTGCCCTTAATTATGAATGTACCATTATGATTAGTAGTTAATAATAATATTATAACTCCAAAAATTAATCCTTGTTTGAGCCTCATTTTGAGGGGGAGGGGGGAATGAATTTTGGAATAGTGTATTGATGGGAAATGTATGATTAAAAAATAAGGAAAATATTTAGATTTGCGTGTAATATTATTTTATTAAAAAATTATGGTTGAAATTATGTAAAAAAACTGTTTAAAAATATATTTTTAAGGAAAAATGGGGCTCACATAGGGGTTTATAATTCAACTTCATGTAGTCTCCATTAGAAAAAAAAAAAAACTATAAATTCTATTCTTTTATTTGAATTATTTAAAATGATATGTTAATCGAGTTTAGTTTTAGTCACTTAAAAATCGAAGCTCGTCTATATGTAGTTATATTTTGTAATTATAATAGAATTTTATAATTATAATAGAATAGCTTGAAATTGTAAAGGATAACACTTAAATGTGAAGTAACGGATATGTGGAAATAGAGATGATTGTTGTCAACATTAAATACCCTGATAAATTTAGGAATTATTTGCTTTAACATATATGCAACCTGCCATCCACATGTCTCCTTAGGAATTAGAAAGAAATATGTAACATTTTTAGATTTATTTAAAAACGATTTTTTCTGCATTAAATATTAAATAGGATTAATGAGCTATAGTCTACTTTTATTAAGTATTGAATGTCTTTCTTCTTTAGAGAAAAATATGTTATTTGGCTAATGAAATTTTCATTTTCAAGCATTAAATTGGTCTGATTATTTTCAAATTCGAAAGATAATTTAGTAAATTATGTTTTTCAATGATTTGTAATCTTATTATAAAAATTAAAAATTAAAAATTAAAAATTAATAACTACTTTAATTGCTTAATTGAATATTTTTCTCAAAAAAAATTAATTGTTTTAATGCTAAATAAATTAAATCAATAAAAATTCATTTTTAATTGAGTCTCTTTCTCAATAAATTTGAGATTGACTAATGAATCAAGGGGAAAAAAAATTCTTCCCAAATTTTTTTGTTGAAAATGAATAAAATGAAAAGGTGTTATAATGATTAAAGCTCATATTATATGAACTAGCCACGTAGTGTATTATTGAGATATACCATTATTTTAATCTCATTTAATAAAAAAGATCATTTTGGGTTGTACGCATTTGAAATCTAAAAGCCCTTTTGTTTGTGTTTGAGTTTTGAGTTCATTTTCAGCTTTCTATTTTGATGGTCCATTTTAATATTATTAAAAAAGCATTTGCTTTGTCATTTTAAAATTTTATTTTTCAAAACAAAAATTTAAAAAGTCATTAGGTTTGAAATTTTGAAAAATTAATTTATGACATCTTATTTAATGAAACGTGATTATTCAATAAAAATAAAACTATTTTATGTTAATATATTATTAAGTAATATATACATTTTAAAGTTGGTGGTTCTTTTAGTATTTTTTTTTCTCGCTATAAAAGTAGTTCGTTTTAAGATTATTAAAAATGCATTTGGTTTGTCATTTTTAAAATTATTTTTCAAAAAAATTAAAAAGGCATTTTGATTTGAAATTTTGGAAAATTATTTTATGACATTTTATTTAATGAAATGTGATTATTCAATAAAAATATAACTATTTATGTCAATATATTATTAAGTAATATATACATTTTAAAGTTGGTGATTCTTAATGTATTTTTTCATGCTACAAAAGTAAAATTAAAAAAGAAAATTGAGTTTAAAATATAGAAAATAAAAATAAAAATTCAAGAGAAAATAATTTTTAATAAGTCTATACGTTGTAAAGACCATAAATAAGGCCCAAGGACAGATAGTGCCTATTGTTAGAATATACCTTCCCGAACATTTATCCTCTCATGGATAATTATATGTGGCACTTTCTCGTGGAGTTTCAATGCAAACAAAAAAATCTTAGTAAAAGAAGAAGAAAAAATGTGAGACGTTGACAAAAAATATTGTCTACAAAGAAA